TTTTTACCCTAAGAATAGTACTGAAGAGTTTTCATTTCGTATACCAAGAGAGACAGTATGTCCTCTTTTTTTGACTAAATTAACTTAGAAATTATACAGACTATACAAACCCCTGAATATGTCCCGTAATGACAATATGTGGCTTTTACCCTTATGTGGAGAAAATAAAAAACATATAAGTATTTGTAGAAACACCCATGTGCTCTTTGTGACATTTAGACACATTACATTAGTGACATTTTAATGAAACTATGTTTTGTCAAACCCATCCTTCCATGTATTGTTCTTTAAAACCGGAGATCATCTTTTAGTCTGAGTAATGTCTTTAAATATAAACATTGAGAATATTTTAGAGTTAAAATCATGAGTGTGTTTGTTGCTAAAGGTTCAGTCAGTGTGGTCTGACTTCTCACCAGTTACAGAGAGTAGGAGGAATCCTGCTGCCAGAGCTGAAAACACAGAGACAAAAAAGTTCCTTTAATCTTCAGGGAGACCTTCTTAACTATAATCCTCTCCATAAACAATACCATCAATCTCTCACACAGACTCAAGATGCAACAGTATGCAGATGATACAGTCTTGTATTTATTTGGCTCCATTCTCCGTTTGACAATCAAAAAGATCTTCTGATGAAGAAAATTATAAAAAATATGATACGAGGAAACTCACCGACAGTCAGGATAATCTGTGATCTCATCTTGTTTGTAGCAAGCATGCATCTCACTCAACAGCCACGCACCTGGTCACATATATAACTCTCTATCGTCCGAGAGTCCTCCCACTTTCCTGTGCTCCGGCTCTCGTCATGTTGATTCTGCATTGAGCTGCTATGCAGTTATTGTAAAACACCAGGAGATGGAGTTTTAGTTCATCACAGCCTTTTTTGTTGTCTTTTGTAGGCTTGCTTGTAGTTATAGTCGACATTTTGTAACCTTTTCTTTTAAATCTTTCTCTTTAAATGGCTCACTTTTTACTAATGTCTCAAACAACACTCATTCCATCCTAGTTGGAAGTTCTGCTTTCATGTTACATGATTAGAGTTGTCATTGCGGTCTATGTTTAATAAGGATTTGCCTCTGCCTCCTTTTTTAACTTTCTGCACATTGTTATATCTTTGGAAATCCTCAAATGCTGATATCTTTATGTGTTTGTGCAAGTTGTGCTCTGGCGAGAGAAGTTTTAGTTTAAGATCAAGTTCAACAGGATTTACAAACAACAAATCTCCCAGGGGCTAAATTATGACTGTCTTCTTTCTCACGCATGTTTTCACATCAATAAGAAAACTTGAAAGCCTCTGAATGAATTTTGGATGTACTGACACAAAGGATGCTTTAGCTTTCTGTTGCAAAAAGATGAAGACTAGCTATCAAATGCTTTATTGTGCACAAGCTTTGACAGGAAAATGCTAAATCAAACTCCATTGGCCTCCTACATGTGCCTCCTTTTGCCTTGATTGGATAGAAAATGAGACAGGAAACGTTGCAGGAGAGAGTGAGGGTAACATGCAGCAAAGGGCCGAGCCCGGACCTGAACCCCCCACAGCCACTGTGACGAGGGCTACGGCCTCTAAACATGTGGCACGCAGCATAACTGCCAGATCATCGTTCTATTTGTAGAACTTTAACTCTTAATGGCTCATATTTTGAACTTTCACTTGCCGTTATATGTAATTGTGGCCTATCCAAGAAACATTATAGGATCTGTAAACATGTGTCATACGTTTACATATGGTATTTTGTTGGTGTGGAAACAAGTTTCAGGTTACATAATTTACATATTAAGCAATACTACAGGTATTTAACAAGTCCATTTCATAAAAAAGTTGGGACAAATTCTAAACATTATAGAGAGCTGTCTCCCCCCCTCCTCTCTAGAGTGGATGCTCACTCAGGTCACCATGTGGTGGACTCTGAAGCTTCAGTGTTTATCCAGCTCTGCATGGGTCTGTAAACCTTTCTGTGTTCTAACCTCTCTCCATTTTTCAAAAGCATCTCCAATATTGATCCTAGTTTGAGCACGTTTCTGCTCGTGGAGCTTATTAGAAACATGCAGAGGCTTTTTAGGTCGGGTACAATCACTTCTATCTGAACCACTTCTCTTGACCGCTTCCATCGCTGCAACACCTGTTGACCTGATAACTGCTCTCATATCTGACAAACAGAGGGGTGTCCAGAACGGTTGTGTGGGGGGGGGGTGTCTTAAAAGCGCCTACCTTCTCTGGTCCAAATAAATCCAGAGCATTCAGGAGCAGAATCTAAAGTTAGAAGGAGGACATACTGGCTGCTGCATTGTTGTCAGAGAAGCCAGCACTTCAACATAGCATGTGTCTGATCATATTGTAAGGTCATTTTATCATTTCAGTCACTACATATCTTACTGATTGCATCTTTAAAACCCCAGATTTAATTGAAAATAGCAAAAAAATATAATAAGAATATAAAAAAAATAATGAGACGCAAAATTTGAATTTGATGCCAGCAACAAGTTCCAAAAAACTGGCAAAGGGTCATATTTACCACTGTAGCAAAACTTTCTCTCTGTATAGGTTTGTCAACCAAGGAGACCAACTTCTGTAGTTTTGAAGGTGTGATGGCTTCCCTTTCTGCTTATTGTTGGATTTCCGCTGCTCAACAGTTCAGGCTCACCTTTGTCGTATTATACTTAACATAATGTGCCAAATATCTGCAATGAGGGACAAATCAGGAGCCATGCTGTTGTATACGTGCAGAATGGGGTTTTACATCTGAATACAAAATGTTTTTCTGTTCATTTATTGTTGTTTCAGGCTCCTTAATGTCCAGAACCGGGAGTTAAAAAACCCTGCCGCCTGTTAAACTTAGTTTGGGGCATTTAAGAGTCAACTTTTAAAACTAACATTGAACTGTATATATACTGGTAAATAAATATCTTCCAGTTATTTATTTGTTATAGTAAACGAGAAGCTTCTGTCAACAGGTGCTCTGCTGGAAGCTGTTTGAGCTTCTTCATCATGTGACCCAAAATTGCTTGCTCTCATAGAACTATAACACTATTTGTTTTATTACCTCTCCTGTATTTCCAGCAAACAGCGCATCAAAACAATTAACTAGTCTATCTCTAATATTAACAAAACAAAGCCTGAACAGCAACAGACAGCAAGCTATGGTTTCTTATACAGCTAAAATAGAGACTTTATAAGCCTTAAGGGGCTTTTAGACAGGAGGTTTGTGTGCTGCGCTCAGCACGGGATAGGGAACAAGGCAGAAGAGGAGTGTGATTACGTGCAAATCGAGTCAATCAAAGGTGCACGTTGCTAGAAAGTAGCAAATTTTTGGATGCAAGATGTATCTTTCAGTTATTCAGAATAAACCTCTGTCATTTCTTTTTCTGCTGAGGAGGACAAGCAGCAAATAGGAAGCAGTGTGGGTTCATAAAATCCCAGGGGCTCGACAGGATTTGGGGGAATTTGGGTTTGTCCTGGAGCTGAAGCTATACACAGAACTCTTCCAGGTTTGTGTGATGTGATGTGATCTTTTCTCCGATTCAACGTGCCAAGGTGTCATCACAGAGCCCACTTTTTCGGCAACTCTGGTCTTGAAAGTTAATTTCCCCGTTCAAATCCTCCCTTGATTTTTGACTAAATCCTTTTATTAAGAGATTATTGCTGGAACCAAGACGGCCAGCTACACCAATACTCGTGATTATATTACATTTAATTTTGGCACCAAAACGGCATTAATAAACAGGAGAAAAGGCAAAGGAACAAGACTATGTACATAATTTTCGTCCTGAATCAAGGAACTACCCATCCCACAATTCATTGTGAATGAGATCATTTCTTTTTAAAAGTAACTTTTGTCATTGTTATAGTGTTTATACTGTTAATACATGTGTTGTAGAATCTTGTAATTTGTGTTGTTGAAAATATAAACATTAACTGCAGCATGACAAGGTTATTAGTACATTTTGTTTTACCTAACTAACTAGCTAGCATGCTAGCTCAACCAATCAGAGACATCTCTGTGACACTCTATGATTGTGGGTAGTGTAGCTCTTTGCCCCGATATCGCGAATAAATCTTGTTTTTCTTAAAACAAGGTTGATATCATACGAACGTGTGTCTCCTAGAGGAGCATATACCATCGTTTTATACGTGGTAAGTCTACCTTGGATAGTTATGACATTAGAGATGAGATGAGATGAGATGAGATTCAACTTTATTGTCATTACACATATACAAGTATAGAGTAACGAAATGAGGTTTGGCATCTCACCAGAAGTGCAAATAAGCAGAAAGTGCAAAAGTCTGTGCTATGTACAGTAATTACAAAATTTACAGATGTAGACTAAAAAAGTGAATTATTAGGTATATCTGGATGGCTGGATTAATGGGATGCTATAAATATAAATAAATGCTATAAATAAGTAATGCTACAAAATAAGTGTATTCTGTACTGTATGTACTGTATATATATAGATGGTTGGAAGGATGTACTGTATATATATAGATGGTTGGAAGGATGTACTGTATATATATAGATGGTTGGAAGGATGTACTGTATATATATAGATGGTTGGAAGGATGTACTGTATATATATAGATGGTTGGAAGGATGTACTGTATATATATAGATGGTTGGGTGGAAGGATGGATGGAGATATATACGTAGATGGATGGTTGTATATTTTGGAGCAACTGTAACGATCAAATTTCCCTCTGGGATTAATAAAGTATTTCTGATTCTGATGGAAAGATGGGTAGATGGATGGATGTAAAATTGGAAGGATGTATATATAGATGGATAGATGGATGTTTGGGTGGATGGTATGGTGGATGGATGGATACAGTATATGAATGGATGGAGGGACAGACCTAAACCCGGTCAAGTAGTTTGGTCGCATTAACATTTCTGACCAAATAGCAAACTGTTTCACGCGCTTGCCCTGGATTCATTGTATTTGCGTGTCAAAAACTCATAAAACATCAAATGTATTTCAGTAAGCTTTATTCAAATGTTTAATCCAACAATTACTTATTTAATATCTTGAAGTTAACAGAGGGGTTCTGAACATGTAAAACAGACTATCCGGGGACCTGGATTGGCATATTTTGAATCATAAGGCCACAGACAAAGCTGCTTTTTTCACACAGGTTTGTCGGTCAAATGCATGAGTACAGATACGACAAAACATCAACTCATGTCATAAACACACATTGACAGACTTCCTATCAGCTTTCAAAACTCCAAAAAGCAACTCAGAAAGCCTCTGATAAAAACATGCAGCACATATCCAGTTTCTTTAAGGACACCTGGTGATCACAGTCGTGTTTTTGCATGGAAATTTATTCTCTGCTTCTTCAAGACCTTCCTCTCCAAGTTGGACGGATCATTTCTTTATTCACTGAACAGGAACAGGATGGAAAGAGAAGAAAACACTCAGTTCAGTTTCAGTTTTGATATTTTTCAATCCAGAAGATATTTTCTCTTTAATGTCTTAATCCATACTTTCTCGTTAACTTTCCAATTGACCATTATTTCTATTTTTATGCTTAAACAAGTGAATGAACGTATGTTTGTCATGTACAGTTTTTCCACACAGGTCTTATATCCTCATATTTCTGAAAAGCAAAACATCTGCTATCATTACATCCTGGTGTTTGTGGGAAAAAAATTACATTTCACATTTCTTGTTCCGTTGTTGGTTTCAGATAATTTATAACATAATTATGATGAAGGCTTGTTTGAGGGGCCTCTGCGAATTTATGCCTGGGGCACTGACAGGCTCTAGAATCGCCACTTGGGGGCGGGGATTAGTTGTTAACGCAAACAGAAACCTCTTTCGACCAGACCCCACGATCATTTCAGTTAAGCCTGAGGAGTCTACACAGACAATCAGACAATGTTTAAATATCTACACAAAAAAATACTTAAAACAGACAGTTTCTCTTTCAAATTGAGCTGTGAGAAGAAGCATTTCTTCCTGAGCTTTAAGAAGATTTAAGGAGGTTAAAAATACACAACACATTGTTATCCTTCAACAGAGTAAGTAAAATAGAGTCTTAAAATGTAATGTTGTGTTCATGTGAAGGGGTGAAACACTTCACAAATAAATCAGAAGGTTGGACTGAGGTCAGACGTGTGTTTAGACGTTTAAGTGTCTTTAAAAAGTAACACACACACTAAGTTTATACACTCAGAACAGAAAAGCACTTTGAGGCGTCATCCTCATGTTTCTAATCATCACCTGAGCATCATTTCCTCGTCCAAACACTGCTCCAGCAAAAATCCCAAGATGTGCTGGCCCACATCTTCAGGCTGAAACACAAAGCAACAGAACAATTAGATGGAGGAAGAAAATGAGGTCTAACAGATTAGATCAATCAGATATAAACAAAATGATTAAACACAAATCATTTTAATGTGAAGAATCTAAATCAGTTTGAATTAGAAAAAATATCATTTACACATATTCTTCAAATTAACTTTAAATTGGAGTTAATGATTAATTTTACTCATTTGATTTCTTTTCACATCGAATCTCCAGATAAAGATAAAGATAAACTTTATTGATCCCCCCATGGGGGAAATTGTTGCTGCTTCTCCGATTCGCAACGACTCAAATTCTGACCCCTGAAGTCCCGTCATTACACCGTGTCCTAACAGCACGCGAGCGTTAGATATCGCGACGCATGATTGCACGCTAGCAGTCCACACTGCATCCATTAAATATTTAATTCTCTGCTCTGTGACTTTCCCTGTTGTGTAGTTCTCAGGGAACTCCTCAGTGGAAAGCTCCTCTTTAAAAAGTCCTAATATGACATCTGGTGCTTTTACTTTGAAGGCCGACAAACTGAAGTGTGGTACTTTGTATTGACAAGCTGTTGACTCAAATCACAACACTCAGAGGCTCGTCAATAAACGGCTCGCAGTGAGAGGAATAACGTTTTCCTCAGGTGTTGACACAGGTCAAAGGTCAACATTATAATCACAGATGTGGATATTATTAAAACACCACTATATCTCCACTTTGTACAACAAGTTAACGAGCTTTGCTGAGGGAGAGAAGCGAGGGTCAGTGTCTTGTAGAGCCGTCGGAGTAAAAACGGCACGCCGCCTTGTCGGTTGGGACACAGACATCGCTGCTGATGCTCGCGTTGCGTGCTGTTAGGACAGACTGTAAGATCTTTTTTAACTTATGTGCACAAAATAACAACCTGTTCGTGTAGCCGTTGTGTTCTGTAAATATTGACGTTTGTTTATTCTATCAGTTTAAGGGACTTCAGGTGCTCTGTGAATGACTCACATCGAATACAATAATATCATATAAGATGATTCATACCTGTTCTTTGGTAGCCTGGTTAACCTTAACCTGTAAGTTAAACAAAAGAACAAACTTATCACACTGAAGAAAAAAAAACACCAAAATTCTCTTGATCACAACTTTAACACGTGTTTTTAATTACGAGACTAAAATAAGGGTGTGGGGGGGGGGGGGGGGTGAATCACTCACCAATGCAGCCTTCAGAGTTTGAACGTCCACCTCAGATAGCTTTGCTCTAAAGGAGAAAAACCAAAAGTTAAACAGGAGACACAAAAACACACATTTTTAAACAACTACACTGAGACCTTTATGCTCCGTTATTATGACCACCTGAAGTCTGAACCTCAAGTATAAACCCTGAACCTAGTTCTGCTGCTGGAGGAAATACCTCTGAAGGCTTTCACTGTTATAAATGTCCGAAAGCAGCCGTTAACGATAAACAGCTTCAACTCAAGAGAAAAGACCATGTGTTCAGCTTCAAACTAAAAGCCAAATCCCCCTCCCTCCAGATACCGTAAAACTTCTACTTATAGCCCAGGCTTTAATTTTCTTCAGTCTGTGAATCGACCCTGATATATATTTGTGACAGGCGAGATGAGCAAAGATATAAGTTTACACCAGAAACAACATTAAACTGTGTGCAAACTGAGGACACCAATAAACAAGAAATTCAATAAATCACTTGTTTGACCTTGCTTTGTAAAGGAGTGTGCAAACCGCTTCATGGCTTATGATTTTTGTTTTGTCTTACTTGGAATTGACGATATCGTTGGTAATCTGTGTTTCTTGTGGCGTGCTGCTTTTTGTCCTTAGTTTTGATCCACAAACTATTTCAACTGTAAATGCATCAGGCATTGAAAAGAGACCTGCCTTTATTTGTGAAAAACGTGCAGCAACACCATCAGGCTAGTGAAAGGGACTGTTTTACATTATGATTGTTCATTACATCCCCCCTGGAGGAGCGCCTGTTCATCTGTTTCCTGTGAGTCTCAGTTTAATTGTAAATAATAAGTCACAGAGAGGCTTCACTCTGGATTACTTCAGCGGTATGAACCTGAAAAACAAACTCATTTTCTTGTGATTTGTTCACATTAACGGGTCTCGAGTTTGCTAAAATAACAACGTGAAGATGCAGATTTGTCCACAATAGAAAGTCGAGCTTTGTCAGGTCTGTCTTCGAGAAGAGAAGAAAACCTTTAAAATGTTTGTTGAACGGAGGACCGAAGGATAATTTATGATGCATAACAGGAGGTCGGAAAACGTGATTGTTCAATACTCCTCAGACTACAAGTGTACTACAAATGGAGTTTTCCCTGGATACAGATTCTACAATATCTAGGAGCTCAGGTTGAATAAAATGCTAGACTTTTTTAAAACATCTTCACAAGGTTCAATCAATGAGCCAATGTTAAGTAAGAAGCGCACTATAGTTAAGGATTATTATAGTCCTATGGGCATAAAGAAGCAGAAGTATAAAACTGATGTATCCATCCATCTATATATCCATCAATCAAATTTATGTCAAATTTGAATTCTAAGCCACAGAGAAAATCACACAGGTACAAAAAGAGACAGAGTAGTTTTAAGTGTTCGTACCCCTTCAGCCGGGTAACAGCACAGTCCGCCAGCACACGGACCATGTCCTCTTCCGACAACTCGGCTTGCTGCAACATCACAACACACGGATCAGTTGAAGACATGTCACCTTAAAAAGTCGCATCGTGAATGATTGTCATGTTTAAAGATCATACCTCCGGCTCTAATCCTACCAAACCAGGTTCAGGAAAATCAGCACTGCAGCAGGAGAGACAGAGGAGCGGGTTAACTGACGCTACACAGAGTCACATCTCAAACCAGCCAAGAAAATTCAACCACATTGAATCATACTAAAGCTCCTGTGAGGCACTTTGGGATTGTGGGGCTTTTGGCGCCCCCTGTGGACAAAGTGGTAGTTGTGGATTCTTAAATACTGTTTGAAGTCAAAGGGAGGGGAGAAAGAGGTGGAGGTGCTCGGATCTAAACTCACCTGTTCTCGGCCACCGGGTTAGCTCCAACATCTAAACAAACACACATGAAATATGTCAAATAAAGTATCTATTCTGAATGATTTGTTTTTATGTATGAATTCAGAGTATTAGAGATAAAATCACGAGAGTGTTTATGTCTGAAGGATCGGTTGGTGTTTCTTACCGCTCAGAGAGAGCAGGAAGAGTCCGGCTGCCAGGGCTGAAAGACACAAAGACAAAACGTTTGTTACCCCGGTTCTGTTTTAAAATCTCTAGGAGCAGAGTACTGAAAAGAAAGTAATAGACCCATAGTACGAATATATGTAAACTTATATTAATTATGATAATATTGCACATACATACCTGCATCCATACATGCATTCATATATTTACAATACACTCAAATCTTAACTACTAAATATGTATTAAATTCTGACCTATTTATCGGTTGGCCGATAATTTCAGCCGATATCAGCATAACCAGTGACTATCAGTATCGGATAATTTGATCGCAGATAAGCGTTGATATTACTTGATTAATCCAGCACTCAAATATTATTACAATGAGTTTCATTGTTTGACACTAGCAGTTCTCTGTCACCAGCAGAGGGCGCTGTATGGATTACAACAAACATTATCACTCTCCAAGCAGTGATGCTCGTACATGCATGAGTTATTCTCCAGTTGAGTGATCGTCTTGTCTTTATTATAAATCTTTTCCACAAGTGTTTGAAAACTGCATGTGAGGGATTAACACAATAAATGTGTTTATCTAAATCTATCTCCACAGACCGAAGATAGATCTAAGAAAAATATCGGCCTATATCGGTATCTCTTCTTAATATCAGCCCCAAAAATCCCACATCAGTCGGGCCCTAGTTAGTATTTTAAACAATTTCAGGTGCTCCTGAAATCTCCAAAAGTTTTACTTTTCCCACATTTCCCTCCCTTTGACCAACAAGGATAGGTTTGAATTTATTAATTGAAATACTAATAGTTATTTATGTATTAATTCCTAAATCTAAATAGAGAAAACAAGATTAATCAATTAATTACATTACAATAATTGTCTCATAGTGAAGCATCTTTTTTTTTTTTTTAAATGCCACCAGAGGCATTCTGTCACTGACTTAATCATCTATTTATATTTAGTTGTATTCCAAGTTGTATTCCAACCAGCTGTGCCTAAAACAGCTGCATCATGGTAGTTGATCATGGTAGTGGAGTAGATGACAGAAAAGAGACTCACCGACGGTCAGCGTGATCTTTGAGGTCATCATGTCTGCAGCGAGTTGCTTCACTTCTCTCCTCTTCAAAGCACGACTGATCTTCTCAGTCACCTGTTCAGGTATATATTGCCCTCCATCGTTAGAGTCCTCCCACTGCTTTTTCTAACACAGCTTTGGATTGAGGCCATGTTGACCGACGTCTGTTTAATTTCTCTGAAGGCATCTTATTGTTTTACCTCAGGCTGTTGGTCATGTTCAGGTAAATATATTGACAGAGCTTCCATCAACAAACTAACAGCTGGAAGGATATTTATTCATCAACTGTACCTGTCACATGTCAAGGTGATGACTCGTCAGCTTAAACAATTACTGGTTCAGGTGAAAGTAAATTATTTAAGAAAGAAAGTCTCAGGTAATTTAAGATCAGCTTGAATATGACATTTTTTTATTTATTTCTTTAACAGTATGCTTAACCTGACTATCTATATGCTTTTAAAAAGGAGGCACAAAGCTCGCTCTGGATGCTGACTACTGTGTATATATATTTCTATGTATTGTTTCCTTTCACTGGGTGTTAAAAACATGAAAAAATGTTGCAAATATGTGTAAGTACAATGATCGGAAACATTAATGTATTGCAATAAAAGAATTCAAACGATAATAATTTCATAATTAATCGCTAAATTGTTAAAACGGGGGTGCTTTAAGAATTTGTTCCACAAAACACACTCCACAAGCACTGATGAAAATAGATTTATTTTCCCACAGAAACAGCGTTTTATAATACACTTACAGTGAATACAGAGCCTGTTTACAGTTTATCACACAGACTAAAGCTGATCTGTTGGAACACATTAACCAACACGTCTTTTTTTTTCAAGCAAACTTTGAGGATTCACGCCGCTCACACCCGAAACTTTGCTGGTTATTTTTCTGTGTTACGTCAGAGCTAATATGACACATTGGAGCTCCTGAAAAACAAGCATGTGAGGACATAATTCAGGTGTGACTGATGTGTGACTGTACATTTTTATTCTTATGACCCGATCACTCAAAGACGCTAGAAAACCATCGTTTCCCTCTGGTCCAGCCGTGCAATTAATTTTTCTCGTGGTGTTTTGGGCTCAAAGAAGTGAAAATCCAGCTCAAGACATCGAGTGGCACGATCGATAATGTCGTCAAATCAAGTCAAGCAGGCGGCGGGCTTTACTACTTACTAGGTCCAGACAGAGCTCGCTGAAGAGACGGGGGAATTCACCGTTCTGTTTACTTTTTTAAATTTTTTATTTCATGAACCCAACGCTTCTGCTTCTCACGACACTCCCCCCTTCCCCGTCTGGGAGCGAAGCGAGAGCTCTCAAATACATTTTCTCCAACTTATTTCATTTTGGTCGTCCGTATGCACACGCAGCCTCGCTCCCAGCTGCTCGAAAAGTCGTTCTGCTGGACTTCCTGTCTCTAAATCGAAGTCATTGACGTCTTTGTTTTCCTGAAATGTTGAAACCCCCGACTCGTTGGACTAAACGTGGCGGCCTTCTCGATGTTCTCACGTTTCCTACATTGAGCTCTAATGGATTATTAATAAAACAAATAAAGGGACGAGTAATGAAACTAACCGTGAGTGGAACATGTGTGTGTTTGTGTGAATGTGACCTCCGCTCTTCTTCTTCTCTTGTTTCATGTTAAAATGTTTCTTTGTTTACAGTTTGAGCTCCACCTGCAGGTTTCAGGTGTTCTAGTAAAAGAGAGAAATAAACCTAATACAACAGCACGTAATGACTTCACAGCGACTCTGTATTTCCGTA